ATTCTCTCGTATACATATGAGAGAATGAAAGAGGCAAACATCCTGCCTCTCTGAAGAAACATCTTGTCTAGATGATGCCATACCCAGTTCTGGCCACTAGAGGGGGCTCAAGGTTTCTTCCCTACGGTAATCACTGGCTTGGTAGAAACAGTCACAGCTCCATTCACTGGGTGAAGCTGTCAAGGCCAACCTCACACTGAAGTCTTTTTATCCTGTCCCTCCCTTCAGCATCTGGAGAAGAGAGGAAGCAATATTTATGGCTCCTCTCTGATTTTGCCAGGAGCTTTCACCTACGTGACCTTGTCTGAGTCTCTTAGCAACCCCTTGAGGGAAAAGAGGTAGTGATTTTCATTACCGATTTTGCAGTCTAAATACTAAAAAAATCCAATTAAGTAGAGAAAGACTGACTCAAGTGGGATTTGAGGCAAGACTATTAGCCCTTTGATCTTTCCATCTTTATTTTTAATTTTTTTACCTTGAAACTGAATTACATGTCCTAGATTGAACACATATTTTTAGAAGCAAGATGGTTTAGTGGAAACTGCCTGGGGTCAAGAAGGAAAACACTCTGCTCGCTGTTTTGTTGGTAATCGGGTTTATCGCCTTGCTCTCCATCTGTGAAATGATAATAGGTAGCTGTTCTACCTCTCAGGGTGAATAAAAAGTCTGGAGGCTCAAAATCATTCTGAGGACCTTTTACCACCATGGAGAATTGCTGATAGGTATTCGGGATGTGGCCTCTGTTTGATGTGTTCCAGGGATCAGCGAGAAGTCATCCCCTCAGCTCTTCCCCCCATTTAGTGTTCTGTCTTCTGACCCAGAGCAGCTGCAATTGCTGACTTGCTATTTCCAGTCCTCTATGGCTTAGGACTTTGATCCATAGACCTCTGACATGTATCCCGAGCACATCACCTCTCTGGGCGGAAATTCAGAATAACCTTGTGTACATACACACAAACACACACACACACACACACACACACCAGCATGCACCAACATGCACCAGCATGGTAAAAACCAAATTTAAAATACTGGTTCTTTTAGAAAGAGAAGAGAGGAGAAGACAGTCAGGGCAGACTACAGGCACAAACATTTTCAGTTTTTAGTTCTTTAATATAAAAGTATCCATCTGGGAGAATCTAGCTCAGAGGCAAAAATGCTTTCCTGGCATTCATGAGGCCCTGAGTTTGAGCCCCAAAACTAGGAAAAATGAATCTAAACCAAGTGTCCAAATGTTAAAACTGACAGGGCTGATTTTGTATCATGCTGCACTTCCTTACAGTTCACTTTCTTATTGGAGTGTTTCCTAATTTTTTTCATAGTTGACAAAAAAAAAAGGGAAAAGAAAAAAACAGACATCTAAAATTCAAATGGTCAGCTACCACCTCGTTACCAAAACTGATGAACAGGCTCTTCTTAGGGGCTCTTATATGTCCTCCTCAGACCAGATTTCAGGCCAAGACATAAACTGTATTGCAAGAGCTTCTGAAAGCTTCACGCTGTTTAGTTTCCATTCAGTGCGCTCATTCATGGCTCCATCGTACAGTGCGGGCTGGCACGTGGCCAGACACCTGCTAGGGTAGCCTTAGGCTGCCGAGTCGGTCAGTTTGCACTGAGCACATAAGGGAGCCTAGTCCAGAAGTGCTGCACTGCCCCGGATTGCGATCCAGAGTCTCCCATAGCAGAGTTCTCTACCTCGCTAAGTCCTAGACACCCACTGTGGCTGCTTGGCCCATGCCTCAGAAAACTTGAGTTTTGTCCCAGAAGAGAAGAACTTAATGTGATTAAGTTGCCAGGTGTATCTGAGGAACGTGTGTCTTTTCACCCACAGTTGTGTCACATCAGCTGACACCCTCTGCACCAACCATACAGTAACTTTGGTTCCTATTTCTGTTTGTTCCCTTGCAGGCTCTATCACATCACACTGTGGACATTCCTCCTCGCCTTGGGACACTTCCTCTCAGAATTGTTCATATTTGGAACAGCAGCTCCCACAGTTGGTGTACTGGCACCCCTGATGGTAGCAAGTAAGCACTGGGCCACCCTAGACCCCTTCAGTGGTGGGGCTGGTGCAGAGGACAGTGTACTGGGCCGGTAAGGTGCTGTTTCTGTTCACCATTAATCTTTTCTGTGTGTTTAAGGTTTCTCAATCCTGGGTATGCTAGTTGGGCTCCGGTACCTAGAGGCAGAACCAGTCTCCAGACAGAAGAAAAGGAATTGAGGCCAGCCTTGCCAGCTCTGAAATGTCATCGTCTTCCACCTTCGCTGTCGTCTTTATTCACCCTCTGTCCTTACGTCATTTCTTTTGAGTTTCATCCTTAGCTCCTTCATCTAGGTTTAACATCCTAAAGCGTTTGAGAGGGTTGTTTGATTTTTTTAATCCTTGGGTGTTTTTTTTTAATGTTTTTAAATTTTTTAAGGTATTCATTCATAAGAAAAAATACGTAACATGTATGTATAACTTAGAGTCATTTAAAAAATACTCTGTTATTCCTTCAAAGTGAAGGAACTCTGAGAAGCCGCCTAATGTGTCCTCCCCTAGCTGTAACCCTCCAGGCTCCCTTTTCTAGTCTTTGGCTTTTCTCCATGTCTCTGCATTCCTTGATCTGACTTGTGTGGTGGGAGCAGACCTGTGAAACTGCAGCTGCTGCCTGCCCAGAGCAGTTGCGAGCAGGGGCTGCCTCAGGGGCTGAGCACATGTCCTGGGCTCCTTTCTACTGCTGGACCCAAGACTCGGAACCAGCCACGGCACAGGCAGTTCTTCTGAGAAGGGCTGCCCTTGTGAGCAGGCCCAGGCTCCTCTTTTATCTACAGGTGGATGAAGGTTGGAAGAGTCTGGGCTGTTTTTAGACCTTTTGGTCAGTTGTATTTGTGTAATGCATTTTATAATAAATAGGGAAACCTATTCTGATCCGTTTTTGTACTTTGACCTTTCCTAAGACTCTTTTTACCCTCCAAACCCTCTTTTCTTTTCAAACCCAACACAGGAACATCGTAGCCTGCTTCACCTTCCACCCACTGTTGTCCAGAGGACAGATTAAGACCTGGACAGCGTGGCTGCCTCACTGTCCACTTGCTAACTTGTGTTCTTGATGCCAAACCTTCTCTTCTTGCTTCTTCACCTTCAGAACTCTTGTCAGCAGCTCAACAGTTATGACCCTTTCCTATTTTCTTCCCAAAGCAGCAGATTCTTAAGAAAAGATAGAGAAAGATCAAAGCAGCCTAGGACAAACAGCTGTGTGAGTGTTTAAAGAAGCAAGGTCAGGCCAGGCATGGTGGTGCATAACTTTAATCCCAGCATTTGGGAGGCCAAGGCACGTGGATCTCTGAGTTTGAGGCCAGTCTCGAAAAGCCAGAGGGAGCAGGAGGGTTGGGCAAGACTAATGCCCACCACGTGAACTTCAGACAGAATTCTGTAAGAAAGCTAGGTGTTTGAATCAAGAGATAGAGCCAGATAGATGATAATTAAATAGATCAGAAAGATCTCCTCCCTGAGGAACTACAGGAGGGCGAAGGCTGTAGCCGTGAGAGGCAGGTGGTCAGGGGAGGAAGTAGCTCCCAAAGGTAAAGAGGACGGCTGATGTTTTTAGTTAAATACCTAGAAAGCATCAGTGCTTTACAGGGGAAATTCACCTTAAATTGACTTTAAACAGTAAACATGCCATGGCTGTTGTAGCCAAGAAAGTAGGCTTCCAGGGATTTGGTGGTGCTCCGGTCAGGCTTCCAAGGGTTTGGTGGTACTCCGGTCGGGCTCCAGCTCTTATTCAGTGCTGTTCTTCCAGCTGTGCACAGCTCTGGCTTGTGATTCAGGCTGGCTTCATTTGAAGTGCCAAAGGAGAATGCAGTTCCAGACCTCGCATCCTCATGGCACTGGAAAGTCAGCTCAACGGGAAGAATTACCTTCATCCTTTCACTGTTTTAAGAAGTGGGTCCCTCTGGAGACCACCGGAGAAGGCGCTGAGCGAGTGTAAGATGATGTGATGGGCATACATCATACGCATGTCTTGACATGTGAGGCCATAAGGTATGAGATGCAGGCATGCGCTTAGCATGTTCTAAGAATATCAGACTCCTTAGGAACTGGGTTCAGCTCCTCCCCTCTGACTAGTAGAGTCATGGTCTCTCCAGATGAAAATTGCTAAGAAACAGAGTGCCAGAGTATCACAGGCATGGGGCACATCTCAAGGCAAGAAAGATCAGGAAAAAGGGACAGCTGTGAGCCTGGGTTACAGACGTTAAGTAGATCAGAGTGGGGAAGGCAAGGAGGGAGCACCCTTTGAGGGAAAGTCACCAAGCTGCCACTGCTAGAGCCAGGCTGTGGACACTGGCCAGGGCAAACTGGCGTGGGTCTGGGGTGGTCAAACAAAACACTTCAGTGCCCTTTGAGGCAGAGCCAAAGACAACACTGGGCCTTCCCTTAGGGAGGAGCACATTCCAGCATGTACACAGGACGGGGAAAAGTCAGGGTCACAGGTTGGCCGCTGAGCTATAGCTTCTATGAAGGCGGTCAGGAACCTTTAAAGTCTCTTTAAAAATCCAACAGGATGTTACACCCTTGTAACAAAGGACACAGATGCTCTGTTGGCCCCAGCCCTGCCCTTCCCCCAGCCATCTCCCAGACAGCCTCAGGAAAGGGTGATAACCTGGTGGGGACCTCCCAAAGCTGCCACTACCTCACTAAATGATGAGGCGGGCCACTTTGAAAATCTTTATTGCTTTAAAATATCTGGTATTACAAACAGGAAATACAAATCATGGGTTGTTGGTTTTTTTTTTTTAAATAAAGAAATGGATTGAGTAAACATGTCCACTTTGAACAGTTGAAGAAAAACACCTTTCTCTTGACAGAAAGTAAGGCATCTCTCTCTTCTATCCCTAACACTCCCTCCACCAGGCTGCTGCTTCCCTCCCATCCACTCACTGCTCAGGTCTATACATGCACACAAACACATATACAAACACGCATGTGTACACTCAAACAGATCCCCTCTGGCCCAATACTGCAGGCAAACTGGGTAGTCTGGTATGCTAAGACCAAACAACACAGGGAACCATGACCAGGGTCAAGGCACAGGAGCAGTTAGCTGCCAGTTTCTCTTTTGGGAAGACACTAAGAAAGCCCGTGAGTATAACAGCAGACTGGTGGGTAAGGAGGTCAATGGGATGGGTCTAAAAGGAGTCCTTTGCAATGTAAACTATCTGACAAAGGTTCTTGCTAGTAGGGGCAGGGAGAGAGTTTGGTTGTTCAAATACAGTCCTCAACATACGTAGGATCATGGTTAACTGAAACAGACATGTCTATTTTAAGAGCCACCTTCTACCTCTCTCAGCAGAGATAGTTTTATGTGTCAGAGTAGAGTGAGTGAAGCTAACTTTTAGTAAAGGTTACAGCCACAAGCCCCTGATGGCTGCATTTCCCAGTGCAATATCTAGTGAAGATACTCTGAGTGGCTTGGGATACAGAAGGCCCTGGGCAAGCACCATTTTTATAGGAAAACACCTTCCTATCCCAACTCAGAGCTACACACACACTCAGGCTCAGGTGCTCCTGGGCAGAGAACCCTCTCTAACCCATTTCTCCTTTGGTTATTGGTGTCTAGTCTCCTTGACTCTCAGGAAAGACAATCTGAAGAAATGCTACAGAGTTGGGGGTTGGATGGTCATGGCCAAGAGTTTGGGTAGGGCTGCCTTGGAATGATGGGAGGCTTCCTGTGGTGCTTCCTCTCATGACCCTCAGGCAGAGCAGGTCACCCATTCTCAGTAAGAAGTGCTCTTAAGACATTAGAAAAAGTTAATATCCTGAATAAGCTTTCTTAAGATAATTTTGCAAGCATTCTCCACGAGAGTAGAAAGGGATAAGAGAAGGCAAGAGATCAAACAAGGATGGACTCCAACAGCCTCCGCAGCCTCTCCCAACACTAGCCCAAGACCTAACGGGAAGTGGGGACCAGAATCCAGTCTGCATCTGGAGAGGTGAGGTTTTCCCCGAGTAAACCATCCAGGTCCTCAGGTAGGGTCCAGTAGGCTTAGGCACTGCCCTGCAAGGCACGCATCTTCCAGCTGCTTCTACAAGTTACTCCCAGAAAATCTAAGTGCTGGCAGTTAACAGCTAACTGGAACCAAGAGGTGAGTGTCTGTGTTCCTGAGTCTCTGCCACCTCTCTCAGAGATGAGCCTCCGACACGATGTTGGGTACCTTGCTGGTATTGATCTCCTCCTCCTCCTCCTCTTCCTCCTGAACTTTCTAGAAGGCAAAGAAAACAGACAGCCCTGTAATTGACAAATACAGACCTTCTCCAGTCTGGCTGAAGCAGCTACCTGTCCATGTCTAGTCAGTGCACATACAAGCTCAGGAGGCCACTCAGTGTCCCCATAGGCACAAGGAAAAGAGCAAGCAGCCCAGCCTGAGTGTGTCCCCCAGACACCATCTCCCACCATCACCACTCATCAGAAGGAACAAAGCCAGCCTCCTGCTCCCACAGCCCCAAACTCATCTCCCCACCTCAGCACCTAAGATGCCCCTAGTTCCAGATCGGCACCTCAGAATCTCCAGCTAGCCCGTTGGGAGGCAGCCTCAGGATGGGGTTTATCATGATGCTCATGGAATGGATGCCTTTCAAGCAATTTAAGACACCCCGCCTAACTGTATATCTGAACCCCATGGCTGTGCAGTTACCCGTATTCAGAGAAACACTGCAGAAGCTTCTGGAGGGTGCCAGTTTGGACATGGCTTCTCTGGGGAAGGATGGCATGGAGTTTGTTTATAGGAGGTATCCTGGCTCACACTTGGTTAAGTGGGTTTGGGATTAAGTATGGCCTGGAAATTCTCCTGTGGGGACCCTGGTGCATATTGCCAACTTGGGCATTTGTCTTCTAATTGCCAAAAGTGCCTTGAACACAGACATTACTACAGAGCTAGCGCTGCTCCAAGAGGAGGGTATGCAGGGCCAAGCCAGAGGCAATGCCAGCTGGACAAACTGCTTTTGTCCCTAGGAATGCTTGAGTCCCGTCCATGGCAAGGGCCACAGCTGTAGTAACCAGCCTTTCTCATTCTCAAACTTGCAGGCCTCTTGGCACTAGATCTGCCTCAGCTGTTATTAACCCCCATTCAGACAACTCAGAGCCGACTTGGTTCACTCTCTACATTTGACACGCAAAATGTACACATGCCTGCCTCTTCCAAAGCCTCCACCTCAAAATCACCCTCAGAAATCACTTAGGAAAGATGCAGCCCTGCTGTCTAGGTGCTGGAAACCCAAGGTTTCATAGTCAAGGTCAAGTCATTCACCCTGTCCTTAAGTTCTCTCTTTACCTAAACAGCATCTCACTGATGTATAGAATGGGCAGCTGCAACCAGACCTGATGTATGCCCCGTCCTTGCTGGGCTCTGACAATGGGTTTATCTCCAAGTCTCTGAGTCTCTCTGAGTGCCACAGAGCATATAATGATCAGGGCTCCAGAAAAAGGATGCCCTGACGGCTGTAGCCTCTTTCCTGTCAGCCCCAGCATGACTCTGACCTACCCTTAATTCCAAGTACCTACAGATGTCAGTGAGGGCCAAAATACAAGGGTACAACATAGGCGAGTCCTATTACAGGGACTTAAGGTACCTAGTCCCATTCAGTGCTGCCTCTGACAGTCTACACTCAATGAGATTGAGCCAACAACTCATTTGACTAACAAATGGAATAGATATACAAGGATCTGGCTCCAACAAGAGTGGAGTTTTACAATAACTGAAAAAGTAAACAAGATGGAAATATACATATCTATAGATGTGAAGTGTAGAGTGTAATTGATTACAAAGTGTGTGTTCGAGTGTGTGTTTGTGTCTGTGTGTTCATGAGAGTATGTTCCAGTGAGTGCAGGGCCTGAAGAGGGCCTCAGATCCCTTGAAGCTGGAGATACAGGACCTGAGTTGCTGGCAATTAAAATATAAACTCGAGCAATACAGTATTAGTATATAACACATATTCATATGTAATATACAAATATATCTTATTTACATTTCTTATTTGCCTTTATCTTCCAACTTAAATACAGCAGAATCTCATGTCACATGACACAAAAGTCACAGTTCCAATTAAAAAATTTTTCACCAAGAATCTATTTTTTTACAGACACCTTTTCCTTTTTATACCTTTTTACTAGGAGAAGTATTCTAAATCATTCTGTCTCTTCATACACAGCACAGTGAAAGCCCATGTCCAGGGTGGCCTTTGCTCTCCACACTGGGCTAGATGACAGCATTCCTGCCTTAGGCTTCCCCTGTCTCCCAGTAAACACTCTGTTACGCCTCCCCCTTGCTATCTACTGCCTGCCAACTCTAGAATGTGACTTCAGAAGACAAACAGTAAAGAACGAGAGAGAGATTCTCAGTTACGAGCCAGCACACTGCCTTGAATGCCCAAAGCACTTCCTACAGTAAAGTCTGTCTTAGAAAATGGGCAAAGGTTTTTCAAAGCGATAAATGCCCAGCCTTGGCACTCAAGTACACTACTGAAGGAACGCTGATAGAACTGGCTGCATCTTTCCAAAGAAGTTAGCAACCCGTAAGATTGTTAAAACGGCATGACAGCTGATCCACTTTCCCAGGAAACACTGTACACTCAGCATACAATCCAGCTTCCATCATATTAACCTCCAGCCTATTCATTATAAGGTAGGAGGCACGGAGGTCTATGTATTTACCGATGAGGCCTCGGGGAACCAGGAATGTTAAATACGCAAGGTTGCCCCTTCCACACAGGGCTATCCCTTCTAAGGGAGAGATGCTAACCTGATCTTCCCAGAAAGCTGGGGGTGGGTGTGGTTAATAGCCTGGTGACCTTTATGACTCTCATGGGATCCTCCCTAGACCCTTATCTAAGCTTGTTATTCCTAGTTAATCTATAGAACCCATCTTTATGGAAGGTGTCTCCCGAACTTTACCGAGAGTTTCAATGTAGTCACCTCTGATCTTTATCTGACTTTGTTCCTCGAGGAGATTTACATGTTTTGTTATATACACAGGATTGAGTTAATTACCACCAGGAAAGTTTACACCAAATTGTTCTGTGCTTATAAAATATCTAAAATAAACTACTCAGAGTTAGACTCCCCAAGTTTCACCCAACACCTGGGCTCTTGTGGCAAACCAAACTACCTTCCTGCCTCCCACAGGTCATTATTAGTCTGCAGGGCGTGGTGGCCGCAAAGACAACCCCTCCCCCACTATATTAACACCACACTCAAACCAAGCGAGTTAACCAGCCACTAATTATAGTACTGTTTATAACAATCATAAATACTTTTAATGTCCAAACAGAAAATTGTTAAATAAATTATGGCTTCCTCATATTAAAGACCACTGTGAAGTCATGAAAAGTACATTGTGGAAAACTGGTAGCCTTGGAGTATTGTAGTAATTAGAATAGAGTTCTTTAAAGAAGGAGAAGGAGGGGAAGGAGGGAAGTGGGGGAAAAGGAAGGGAGAAAAGGGGAGAGAGAGACAGAGACCAATCACACAACCAAACTCAAAACCCAGCCAGGCATGGTAGCTCATGCCTGTATTCCCAGCACTCATGAGGCTAAAGCAGGATAATCAGTCATGAGTTGGAAGCCAGCCTGGGCCACATAGTAAGTTCTATACTAGCCACAGATAAATAATAAGATGATATCTTAAAGCAAACAAGCCAAGGCTGAAGAGATGGCTGGTTCAATGGTTAAAGCACTCTCCAGATAAGCATGAAGACATGAGTCGAGACCCCTAGAACCCAGTCAAATGTTGGGTGGCCACGGTGACCCACCTGTAATTCAGGCAACAAAAAGTGGAGTCGAGATCCCCAGAACAACCTGACTATCCAAACTAGCTATATGCTTGAGTATGGGTTCAGCTAGGTAGCCTGCATCAGTGAAGAAGTTAGAAGATGAACAAGGAAACCTCCTGATGCCAACCATGGGTCTCTACATGCAGGCACATACCCAACCACACATAAGCAAACATGCTTACACATGAAAGGGGGGGAGAGTGTGTGTTATTCACGTATCCATGTGCATTTATATGCATATATGGCAAATAATGTTTCTAGATGATAGAATTATGACATGATTTAAAGACTCTTGTATACTTGCTCTGTTCATGTTTTTCTATGAAGGATGGTATTGTATTTGTAATGAATTTGTGTGTGTGTGTGTGTGTGTGTGTGTGTGTGTGTGTGTGTGTGTGTGTGT